CTACTACTACTACTACTACTACTACTACTACTACTACTACTACTACTACTACTACTACTACTACTACTACTACTACTACTACTACTACTACTACTACTACTCTACTACTACTACTACTCTCTCTCTCTCTCTCTCTCTCTCTCTCTCTCTCTCTCTCTCTCTCTCTCTCTCTCTCTCTCTCTCTCTCTCTCTCTCTCTCTCTCTCTCTCTCTCTCTCTCTCTCTCTCTCTCTCTCTCTCAGTTGAAAATTGAAACATATACCTGGAGGGCCAAGTTTCTTGACCTTCCCTCTGTTGAGCAACTGCACCACACAAGCTGCAACAGAAGCAGCAACCAAAAAGCTAACCCTGAGTAGCATGTATAGCTCTTTTCTCTATCCTCACAAACGTCACACCAATATGCAGCTAAGGTAACCGATCAAAGTCTTCATGCTGATACAACTCCAAGCTTCAAGAACCAGCTTTCCATAACAGACCCATTTCCTTCTTCACTGGCACCAAACTGTTTCAACAAATTAAACCATAAAAACTCAATCCAAATCATATAGAAAGACCATGAACACACCAAAAAACCATTGTCATGAACACACCAAAAAACCATTGTCCCAATACATGAAACCAGAATACAGAGGCAACTAGTCCAATCAATAAACCCACTAACCCAAAACATTAAAACAGAGGCACCCTAGTTCAAGTATTTAGGAAACATAAATCATGCTTTAAATCAGAGAAACCAACTCCAAAACATACATAGAATACCCAACAAAGAAACAAACCCTGAACCCACTAAAAGAACACTCAAAAGCATCCATGCTTAGAATCCATAAATCCACTTTTTATCAAAGACTAGAAACTACCTAACAACCTGAAATGAAAGCAAGGAAAAACCAATGCTAAAGGAGATGAATATACCTGCATACAAAGAGCTGAGCCAAGCATATGGAGTCTGGGCATGCCCGACTCCATAAAGTCCACTACCCGTCCAACACACGCATTCTATATTTATCGTAAATTGGAGGCTCTGATAATTCCTCTGTCTCTGAAACTCCAATATAAATATGTCCAGTAATCCTCTCATCAGTTGCAGACAAAATCTCAGCCCACAAAAACGTGTGGCTCAACTCTTATACCCCAAAAAGATAGCATATGAACACAAAATTCAGATACCCAACAAAGAAAAAACAGAGAGAATGTCACAAAAGAGAGCAAGCATAAGAGGACAACCCTTCCCTTTGTAAAATTTCAACAGTAAAACCAGGAAAGACAAAAGAGACCAGTTAAAGCTGGTGTGAGAAAGAGAGAGAAGAAAGGTAGAGGTGGGGCATGTTGAAAGGCAACTACTGTTACTTAATTCCCAGCCATTACTTCTGTTTTGATCAGTGGAGAGAAGACCAGCCATAGGAAAACTTGAAAAGTAGCAGTTTTTTGTGAATAGATAACGTGCTCTTTTGGGGTGCCACGAAAATGTTTTCTTGTTCCATAAAAATAGAACACAAATACGCCTCTATTTTTCTCAAGGAGATAATGAAAATGACCAACTCATGGACAAAAACATGGGGCAATAATGCCTTGATGAGTTCCTGGATGCTGTTTTCTCTCAGTCTTACCGCTGGATGAGCAGGCAGTTGGGTGCTAAGAAAGGATAGAGAAAATCCAATTGCCCACGTATCTCCAGCCATCCAATTAGAAAGGACGGTTACGATAGCTAGAGTCGAAATGTCGTAAGTGAGGTATTGACAGTTTGTTCCATATCTAAAGTATTAGAGTTAAAAAAAATTTGTGCAAATCATATGAATGTGAAATTTGGTATTCGTAATCATCTCATCAGGGGCTAAAAAATTATAAAGAATAATATAATAATTAAAATACCTTTGAAATTTTTATGGATATTTTAATTATCTTATTTGATCTGAAATATTTTTTATGTTTTTTTTTATACATAAAGAGTTTTGTTAGGCCAGCTTGGTGGTGTAGGCTTTTAAAGTGTTCAGCATTTTTTTATACTAAAATACCATTGAATTGTAATATAAAGTTTTTCAAGTAAAGGCATTTTTTGTCATTTAGAATGGTAGAATTGATATATTTATGAAAAAATAATGGCATTCTATTAGTAGTTAAAAATAATTAATGCATCTTGTGGGTGCTGTCACATTTGACTTTAGAACTTGAATACTCAAAGTCACAAAGTTACATGTGACTTGAGAACTGCATATTCTAAATAGTGGATATTCAAATTCTAAAGTCGAATATGATTTTTTTGAATTATGAAAATCCTAAGTCACATTGACTTTTTACAAAAAATTTCGTAGTTTTCTTCACAAAGGTTTGACCTTAGATCTGAAATCATAAAATAACTTTGTCAGGAATTAAGAGAGGGAGTGTGTGTGTGCACATACAATAGAAAATTAGGGGGGAATTCTTTAATGACACCAATTTAACATAAATTTGTCAAATATAAATGCCCGGGTTGGGCCGACCCATTGGCTCACCTATCAGCTCTTCACAAAATACCATGTGTGTTCTATCCCGAACACATTGAATCAGATTTATGCAACCAAGGAATGAATATTTTTAGTGAATTTCACCGGTTTTGTACGTGCAAAGGAAATCATTGCCATCTCAAAGAGAGAAGGGTTGTGGACGAGGAAGAGAGAAGGGTGTTTTTATTTTGGGTTTTGTTAGCTACACCATTTGGTGGTGTAGACCCTTAAAAGTGCTCAACATTTTTTTACAATAAAATACCTTTGAATTATAATACAATCTTTTTCAACACTAAAATACCTTTGAATTACAATACAATTGTTTTCAAGTTGAGGTATTTTTTGTCATTTAAAAGGGTAGAATAGATATTTTTATAAAAAAATAGTGGCATTCTACTAATAGTTAAAAATAATTAATGCATCTTGTAGTTGATGTCACACACCGTATCGGTGATGTCATTGTCTATTATTTTTAATACATTCTTTTGTTTCTATTAGGAATTTCTAGTTTACTCTTGATTAATTACTTAAAATACTCCTAAACAAAAAGTTCTATACTGAGTGTTGAGTGCTTTAAGGGTACCTAAATGTTTAAAAATATTGAGTACTTTAAGGGTCTACACCACAAGTGATTTAGCCTAAAAAATCCCTTTTTTTTTTTAATAAAGAGAGAAAGAGGTGTTAAATCAACTGGTTTTGGCTTTTTGAGTTTGATTTTATGCCTTGCTTTAGGAGGGCCTACCCAATTGTCATAATAATAAAGAGAGAGATACGGGGGAGAGGGGTAATAAAACCAACCCACAAACATATCTTTTTGCTTTGAGCTTGTGGTCTTGGCTTCTCATTTGTAGCAGGTTTTATTTTTTTCTAACATTAGGAGGGCCTATCCAAATTATGATAATCAATGTTTCAAAATCCGCATCAATGGAGTGGACCATTCACCCCGCATATCTATGTCATATCATCGCATTGGTGATCTAGATTGGTCCGAATCGGTACGAATAAGTGATTTAGAAAATATTAAAAATAAAAATAAAATAAAATACAGGTTTATGGGTGGGAATTTAAAAAGGACTCAAGAAAACACTAGATAAGCTTAAAAGAAAAGAAATAGAAGGGAATGCTTTCGGGGTGAATCGGGGCAGGATTGATACCTTTCCAAATTTGGTTTGGTCCCTACTTATTCCCAATTTGGATCAGCAACTCCCCATCTAGATCAATAGGTTTTAAACACTGGTGATAATAATCAAGAGAGAGAGAGAGAGAGGTGATAAATCCAAATATTAAAAATAAAAGAGGTGTGATAAATCCAACCCGCAAGCATAATATCGTATGACTTTTAACTTTGGGCTTATGCTTTTGGCTTCTTAATTTATGAGGGCCAACACCATTGTGATAATAATCATCGTAGGGCTAAATCTACTTTCGGTCATTCAAGTACTGGACCCCTCCACCCTTGGTTCCAAAGACTAAATGATTTCTCGTTTATACTTAGAATAAATACAAGTGTTTGTTTATTTGGCCAGGGCATTGGTGGTTTGGGGGCAGATGGTTCAACTTAATGTTCTAGGCTCTATGTTTACCCTTAACACTTCATTAAAAACAAAAAACAAAACTGAAAAAGAGAAAAGAAAATATGAATCTTTGAAAGAGAGAAAAGAAAATATGAATCTAGGAGTCGAGCTTTTAGCCGCTGGGTTTTTATAGCACTACTTTCATTTCTATGTAACCTTGACAAAAAAACGAAAGGAAAATATGAATCTCCTTCACCGTCTCAATGATTGAAACAAGATTAAAAACAAAAAACAAAACAGAAAGAAAGATAATAAATATGAAGCTCCTTCCCCGATTTAACAACATGGTTTATTCATTGTTTCTCAACTCTCTTTTTTGTGACATTTTTAATAGTGTCATTTATGCCACAACTACCCAAGAAATTTGGGCTAATTTGAATGAATGTTTTTCTCAAAGCAATGCTCCTCGGATATACCAACTTCGTCGAGATATTGCTCTTTGTGTTCAAGATTCCATGTCTGTGGCAGCATATTTCACAAAACTGAAAACTTTTTGGAATGAACTTTGTTCTTATACGACCCTACCACCTTGTTCTTATGGTTCTTCCAAAACCTTGCAAGAGTACCAACACTATATGAATCTACCACCTTGTTCTTATGGTTCTTCCAAAGCATTGCAAGAGTACCAACAACAAAAGCAACAAAGCCTATGCACTATTATTTATTTCAGGAAGAAAAATAATTTATTGTTGCAACCCCTCCTCCTAACCATGCCGACTCTGATGCACTCACTGCAACCATTGGGGTCTCTAACCCCTTACGGAAACCTACACATGATGTCAACAACTCTGGAAGCCCCACGACCATACCACCCCCGCTTGATGTGTGAACATTGTGGTCGGCTTGGCCATGTCAAAGACAAATGTTATACTTACATGGCTGTTCCTTTGGCCATCGTTATACCAACCTGGTCGAAACCCACCTGTAAAACTCTCCATCAGCGAGCAGCACAATTTGGCACCAAATCTTCCTGCCCAATCATTCACGAACCAATTTTGTCAACTTTTATCTATGCCAAAAGAACGTAGAGCACAACCATCTGTGAAATTTGTAGGTAACACTTTATGTTTCAAATCTCTTATCTCTAAGCATTCTTGGATTGTAGATATTGGTGGATTAAACCACATGATTTTTTATTTTACTTTGTTTCATTTCTATACAAAAAATTCATCTATCTCACCTATTAAGTTACCAAATGGCACATTTACACCAATCACTCATATTGGTACTATTTATCTCAGCCCACATATACATCTCCATCATGTTTTATGTATTCCTTCATTTCCCTTTAACCTTATCTCTGTTAGCAAACTCACATCTTTTCAACCTTGCTCAGTTACATTTTCTCGTGATTCTTGTATTTTTCAGGACCAAACCAATAAGATGATAATTGGAGTGGTTAGATAACATGGTGGTATTTATTATTTTCATGCTTTTGCCATTCCGAGCGGCTAGTTTTGATGTCTAGCATTGGCGACTAGGTCATATCTCTTCAAGAAGAATAAACACTTTGTCTAAGACCGTTTATAAAATTTCTAGTGTATCTTCAAATCATTGTGATATATGTCCACTTGCTAAACAAATACAATTGGCATTTTATTCTAGCATCATTACCTCCACTGCACCGTTTGAATTAATACATTGTAACATTTGAGCTGGATACTCCACACCTTCTTATTATGGAGCTTGTTATTTTTTTACTATTGTCGATACTTCTCTCGATATACATGGGTGCTCCTAATGCGTTTTAAATAAAAAATTATGAAGTTTTGAAATATTTTTTTGCTCTAGTCAACACACAATTCAAGTGCAAACTGAAATAAATATGCATTGATAATGACTAAGAAATGTTTCCTAAATACATGAGGAATTTTTTTTCAAGAAAACGGTGTTCTTTAACAATACAGTTATGTTGCTACTTTGCAATAAAATAGTATTGTTGAATGCAAACATCTTCATATTCTAGACATCGCTCGTGTTTTATGCTTTCAAGCTCATTTGCCAATTCATTTATAGGGTGACTACAACATATTAACTATTCCATATCTTATGAACTGTATCCCAACACCTATATTATTCAACAAAACCCCTTGTGAACAACTTTTTCCCATGCCTCCAACCTATTAGCATTTACGGGTATTCGGTTGCTTTTATATATATATGGAAGCATCTACGCAATGCCTATGGGCCAAATGCTATAGTGATTTCGCCCATTGGCCCATCGCCGTCCAAAAATATTTGACGGCATGCGTTTTTCGACCATCACGGACCTAGTATGTCCAATACCATCACGAACATACTAGGTCTGTGACGGTCAAAAAATCAGGTGGAACCGCAACGGACGTTGCACCATTTGTTGCGGGTCCATTCAATAAACCGCTACAGACATAGCAAATCCATGGCAGTAGTGAAACACGGTAGCACTTCGCCTATAGGTGTTTTAAGGTTTTTTTTTCTATATATATATATATATATATATATATATATATATATTATTCTAAGATACTGGTAATGGGTAG